GTGTAGAGATACAGAATCCCAATGATGAATGTAACTGTATTGTATACCTAGATTGTACCAATAAACTCAATAAAAAGAAAAAAATTAAAAACAGAAATATCAAGTTCATATTTAGTTTTCTGTATAGATGCTTACATATAGAAATATTTATAAATACATGTATATACACAAGTTAAAATATACATATATTTTTCCGTCATATATATTGATCTGTCATATCACAAGTGAATGTAACTGTATTGTATACCTAGATTGTACCAATAAACTCAATAAAAAGAAAAAAATTAAAAACAGAAATATCAAGTTCATATTTAGTTTTCTGTATAGATGCTTACATATAGAAATATTTATAAATACATGTATATACACAAGTTAAAATATACATATATTTTTCCGTCATATATATTGATCTGTCATATCACAAGGTCTTTAAGAAATAACACCCCATATGATGAGGTGAACATGGCAGCATGTTAGCCTAGAAAACATGACAAATCACCCCAGTAAGAAAGAGTAAAGGAACAAAGACTTTGATGTGGAATGAAGCATGGTGGGAGATAAGGACCCTTAGGTCCTATTCAACCTATCAATAAAAAAGGGAATGTTAAAAAGAATTAAGATGTGTCAATGCATGTACCAATTCCCTAGATGAATCTAATCACTATGTACTGCAAGCATGTACTGATCAATTTTAAAATTTTAAAAGCAGATATCCATCTGCAAGTAAAACAATCTAACCCAAATCTTATTATAAAAGAAATCTCAAACATGGAAAACAAAATTAGCATAGGCCCAGAATATTATGCACACCACAGTGGAAATATTCATCCTATTCAATAAATCGGAGACTACAGATGTGTAGAACAAGTGGAGGTGGGGTTACAAAACCCACACTAAATACTCTGTTTGGTACACACAATGTAGAGCAGGTCTCAGAAGAAATCTTCTCTTTTGGAAAAATATTAAGAAACAGTATGTAAGCCAGCTGTAGTGGCACAGGCCTGTAACCCCAGCACTCAGGAGGCTCAGACAGGAGGATCACTGTGCGTTTGAGACCAGCCTCGGCTACATAGTGAGTTCCAGTTCAGTCTCAACTACACAGTGAGACCCTGTCTAAAAAAAACAGTACATAGGGCCAAAGACTGAGCTGCCTCGCAAGCACAAGGTCCTGAGTTCAATCCCTGGTTCTGGGGAGGAAAAGCAAAAGTCTGTAATAAAATCATTATAAGTAAAATGCATATCCCTCTATAAAATAGTTACAACAAATAAAAAATTAGATGGCACTGAGTATTTGAAATGACAACTGCAAATGTAATCACTCACTTCTAGTAATGCTGAGACAATGGGCAGAACTTCAGGATTACAGATATCAATAGAGTCATCGCGGTATGTCTTCTTTTTATAACAGATATTACCCAAATGTAATATAGCTGAGAGGAGAGAGAAAATCCTGTGAAAATAAAAGCACAAATTACACTTCTTGTACATAGGCGTTCTCAAAACTCATTTTATTTCAAAATTCTAGCTAACTAATCAGTACAAACATAAGTATACTATCAACTCAGAAAAACAATATGAGAATTAGAACTTAAACAATGAAATTTTACTATTTACATCAAATACTGCACAATGTGCTATACTTGACTTTATTTCATTATTATGTCATTTGTTATACAGTTATTTCAAAAGGATCTCTTAATTTTGTCTGAATTTGCTTAGCCTTTTGGGGGGGGTGCCGGGAATTGAACTCGAGACTTTGCACTTGTAAGGCAGGCAGCAGAACCACTGAGCTAAATCTCCGGCCCTGCTTATCCTTTTAACAACTCCATTCCTTTCTAAATGCTATTCTTCTGTCCTTAAATGCATTTTTCCCTGGCTTATGCATTTCAGAAAACCTGAATCAGAATCTCCAAAGAAAAGGCCTTGCAATCTGCCTTTTAATCTGATTGATATACCAGGTGATTTGTATAATTATCTATTTTAAATGTTTTCCTGTATCATACTATGGTACAGTAAGTATTTCTGAAAAGAGTGTAAGGCCAGCCAGTATATTACTAGTACCAGGCCTCTACTATGAAATACTTCCCTTAGCCTCCCTTACTCATTTCCCTCCTGCATCAGGGGACGCAAGCTCTCCAGGCAGGAAATTATTCTCTCCACTTGTGGTACTACACCCCAGCAGCTCCAGCTGACTCAGGAACCTTATTGTATTCATTTCCTATCTCTCAGCTGAACCTGAGAACTTTCTAGCAAAATATTCTCCTGTTTACTTTTCTCTTATTTTAACATGTTCATGATGGTGTCGTAATTCATGCATCTCACTACCAGGTAGCTCTGAACCACTGTTGGTTCCAACCAGTGCTAACATTTTAAATAAATCATCCTAGATCCAACATGTTTACTTTCCCTTCATAAATGAGCTTACTGAAATACTACATTCCTTATCTTCACTTTATCATTACTGTTCACTGCCACACTTGGCCTCTGCTACCCACTAACATGTCTCAGAGGTTACCAACAAGGCCCACGTAAGCTAAGAATGATTGTCCTTAACTTCTCTGACCATTCAGAAGCATTCAACACAGATGAACACATCAATCCTGATCCTTTTTATGCACATCTTCATACTTTGCCCAGTTATTTTCTTAAAATAAAATAAATCTGATCTATTTGTGAAAGTTTAACTACACTTTTTTTCTAATAAAAATATTTTTTTCTTTAAATTTTATAGGTACATTTAATGTACACAATATAATGACATTCACTGTTGGAAATTTGTATCTTTACATAATCAATTTTGGTTCTTTTTTTTTTTTTTCCCATTCCTCTGCCCTCCCTTCAACCCCTCCACCCCCATCTACAAAGACTTTGTTTCCATTATTTTTCATTTTCTCATATTAACTGCATTCCTTTCTTTCCTTTCCCCTACCCCTCCCATTTCTCTTCCCCTTTGTCCCTTTTCTTCCTGTTTCACATCATCTATTATACCTTTTACTCCTTATTTACACTTAAACAAAGATATTACCAGAAATGCTTTGAATCACCATCTGCTTCATAGGTCTCATTTTTCTAATAACTTAAAATTTTTACATGTTGAATAATAAGATTCAAAGAAAATACAAGTCAGTTACAAAGGAGTAATTCATAAACGTATTCTGCTATAAATGAGAAAGTAAGCTCAGGGGGCTGGGGATTTAGCTCACAAGTACAAGGGCCTGAGTATGATCCCCGTAACAAAAAAAGTAAAATAAAAATCTAAGAAACTTTTCTTCTGGTAAGAATAAAAGTTGTATCTTTAATTTTAAAGTTTTATTTTCAAATAGAATTTACTGCATTTTTTATCACAAACTCTGCATTTCTATTTTGCTTATGTTTACTGTGGAATAGTTTCAATAGTATACCCATAAATTTATACAGGAATACATAAAAAGTGTATTTTGCCAAGGAGAGTTCTGCCTTTCATTAGATTCTTAAAGAACTTACAACAATAAAAAGGAATGAAAAACAATGCTAAAAATTAATGAGTCAATAGATCAGAAATTCTACTTTTAAAACTTTAAAAAAGAATCAAGGAAGAGAAATCTTCCAAAGACACATCATGATTTATTCTCTACTGGGAGTATAAGAACACAGTAAATAAACTCACTGTCTTCGTGTCTTGGGCAGAAATCCTACCATTTCCATAGCCAATTGTAAGCGTTCGAAATCATGCCTCAAATCTTCTCCTTCCACTGTGAAGCAATCCTGCTTAAAATAAAAGAGGGAAAAGATCAAGATTACTGGTTTTAAAGAATGTTGGCCAGGGCGGGGCATTTAGCTCAGTGGCACTGCCACCTGCCAAGTGCAAGGTCCTGATTTCAGTTCCTGGTACCACAAAAAACAGTGAGCCATCCAGAAATACAGACAATTAAGGTAAGTGCACCTATGTATAAATGCAAATTAGAGTTGGTGGAATATTTAGACAGAGATCTAATAGACCTCTTACTTCACTATAAGTAAATAAAGTAAAAACATACCTACCAAAATATTAGGTTACTTTTTTTTTCTTCCTTTTACAATCACCAAAATAAGGATCTCAACAGTTACTTTAGATAAGGGCCGGGGATTTAGCTCAGTGGTTCTGCCGCATACTTTGCAAGTGCAAGGTCCCAAGTTTGATCCTTAGTACCAAAAAAATTAAAACCAAAACCAAAAAAGCCCTCTTTGAAAAGTTGCTTAGATAAAACACTAATAGTACTTACAATGAATGCTGAAACCAAGATTGATTTTAAGAAGTCCTGAAGAGTTTTGGAGATTCAAGGAATTTATAAGGAGCTCAATTCCATAAGCAAATATTGTCTGTTCAACAAATATCTAATAAGTACCCACTATAAACAAGGCACCAAACTAACTCCTGCTAACACCAAAACATTTTGTAGAATAGGTTGTAATACAGTTGAGAAGTGGATCCTAGATTTATAAACAGTTCCTAATGAAATAATATAGACAACATAGAAATCAACCAAGGAAAGAAAGAAATATATGGCAAAGTATAAAAGCCTTCAATAAATACACTTTACATGAGCCAGTAAAAATAGATGGGCACTACCAAAATTTTTAGTATAACCTTTACATTCCAGTCCCTAAAAGAGTCAAGCAGTAACATTATAATCTAAATCTTTAAAACCCTTTACTACATGTTCTTACACTCTTTTGTACTTACACTGTCTAAAACCTGTTTACTTTTTTAATCCTTCTCTTCCAAAAAAATATTCCATCACATACTCCATAAACAGAAAACTATTATCTGTCTTATTCACTGCATCAAGTCAGTGACAAGAATATAGTGAGGAATTACAGAAGTGCATAATCAATGAATTATTGAATAATTCATAAATATTGAATTGAATGAAAAATTCCTTCTTGAGAAATAAAGTACTCATTTTAAAAAATGTAATGAGTCCTGGGCGTGGTGGAGCACGACTGTAATCCCAGCACTCCGGAGGCCAAGGCAGGAGGATCGCAGTGAGTTCGAGACCAGCCTGGGCTACATAGTGAGCTCCACGTCAGTCTCAACTACATAGTGAGACCCTGTCTCAAAAAACCAAAAAATAAATAAATAAATAAAGTACTGAGTATATACTGCATCTGAATGGAAAAACACCAAACAAAAAAATAAAAGAAAAACTCCTCTTTAGGCATTGTAAGAATGAGTTAAACAAAACATCTGTATATAAAAAATTTAATTTAAACACTCAGAATGGTGTTAATATATTTACTTTCTAGTGGGCATGATGGCACATGCCTGTAATCCTAGCATTTGGAAGGCTGAGGCAGGAAGATCACCATGAGTTCATGGGCAGCCTGAACTATATTGCAAGACCCTATCTGAAAAATGTTTTTATTTTCTATATGGAAATGTAAACACATGTAGTTTAAAATTTTAAATTTATTGCAACACAAGTTCAGAGAATGTATTTAATTTTCAAACTATAAATTTTTCATAAGCAATTTTAGGACGCATTCTAAAAACCTGTCAATGTTGTAACTAAAACAAATTTAAATTCCCATTATTTTTCTTTGATCTATGGTAAAGTTTATTTAAAAGTTCCTTTGCAAGGCCAGGGATTTGGCTCAGTGGCACCATGGCTACCTCGCAAGTGCAAGGTCCTGAGTTCAACACCCAGTACCAGGAAAAAAAAAAGTTCTTTTGCTTCTCTTTCCCAAAAAAATCAGTTTATTCATTTTATAATTTAGCAAACATTTTTCTATAAGAAGTAGACACTAGGGCCGGGAATTTAGTTCAGTGGTTCCTGAGTTAAATCCCTGGCAAAAAAAGAAAAAAAAAAAAATGAAGTAGGTGGTAAATCTATGCTTCCACTTGTACAAACTCAATGATACAGCAATGAGTCTTATAAAAAGTGAATGAAACAATTAATGCATATAAAATATTGGGAAAGTAAATTAAAGAGGCACTAAAAATATAAATGCATTTATATCTGTTATCTTTAAATCAAATGTTCATAAATACACTGTAGTCTCAGGAAATAGCAAAACTGTAATTTTTTCAAATACATCTGGATCTCCTTAGCTGTTTTCCTGATGACACGTGTAGAAGAAAAACTAAAGACAAAATAGGGTCCACCAGACCAAAAGTGCCCTTATCTTAGCTTAGGTATCTTAATTCAGATAAATACAGGAAGCTGACTCTGAGGCAGACAAAGATTCAAGTGTAAGTAGTAAGGGAAGTAGGAAAGTAAAATAAGGGAAAGAATGGCTGCCTAAACAGGTAATACCATGGAAGGAATCCTGAGGTTACTTTTGAGAAACAACATAAAACCTAGAGAGGTGATGAAGCTACAGTATTATTTTACTGTCATTAGTCATAAATTGAGGACTTACAGATACAGGATCAGACAGCTGTAATTCCAGTCATCTCTAGAGGGTCCTATAAAAACACAAGGGCAGTATCTTCCCAAAACAATTAAAAGAATCATTCCACAGTGATATATGTGCACCCATGTTTATAGAGGCAGTTTATAATAGCTAAAATTTGTAAACTGCCCATCAAAGGGAGACTAGATAAAGAAGATGTTTTTGTTTTGTTTTAAAAAAATGGAGTACTACTCAGCCATAAAGTACAAGAAACTAGAGACATTTTTAGCCAAGTGGATGCACACTGAGGCCATATTCTTAAGTCAAACAAATAGGACACACGTGTGTAAATACCAGATAGTTTGTCTAGTGTGAAAAACTAAGTGTAAATAAGAATCAAAATGTATAACTGATATTTTGAAATAGGATTATGTCTAAGAAGTAGGGGCAGCAGGAGGGGTAGGGGAAAGGAAAAAAGGGAAAAGAAAAAATATGAGAAATGGAAACAAAGTCTTTGTAACTAGGGAAGGGAGGGCAAGGGAATGGGGAAAAAAATAAGAACCAAGGTACATGATGTAAAGGTACAAGATCCTAATGATGAATGTAACTGTAATGTATACTGAAAATGTGCCAATAAACTTAATGAAAAAAAAAAAAAAGAACACAAGGGCATCCTAAGGAAAAAGCCTTCAGGTCACTAAGATACAAATACTGGTTAGCCAGAGAACCATGAACTGTAAGGTTCCACGGAAAAGGCAAGGCACAATTCAACAATTGTTAGAACCCTCTCCACTGGGCCAAGAATTTAGCTTAGTGGTTCTGCTGCCTGCTTCGCAAGGCCAAGGTCCTGAGTTTGATCCCCAGTACCAAAAAACAATCAATAACATCGCTGCATGCCTTCCACACACACAACCAAAAAGCTCCTTCATACTATCAGGGCTTTTTTTTTTTCTCCCTGGAATGAAGACAACCATTTCTTTCTTATAAATGTATAGCTAGAGCCGTGGTAGCTAACTCATGGCACGCATGCCTGAGCAGGCTGTTTCAAAGCTCTAAAAGGTTCACCATCACTGGTCTAGAAGCAGCCACCTCCAAAACACAGGTGAATGAGAAAACTCTGGGGCTTGTCACACTCCTTACACCCTCAAGAAGCAAGGGGGAGGGGTATGAGAGTGGTCAGTCTGGTCACACGCTCTGTGACTGTCAGAGGGAAAAGGGAAGGATCAGGCAGATCAGTTTTAAGGTACAATGACAATGCACATTAACCAATATGCTATCACCCTCTATATTTTATAAATAAGGAAACAAACTCCCTCACATTAACAACAAAAATGGCTTACATTTGAACAGATTATCACCATTTACTAAATCTCCATTTACTAAATATCTACATATCAGTCATGGTGAGTCACTTCATATATATTCTCTTAACTCCGTTAAACATAGAGATACTACAAAACATACACATACATTTATAGGCAAGAAAACAGACTCAAAGGTGAAATAATTTGTTCAAGGTCCAAAACCATGTTAAATAATAAAACTTGTCAGACCAAAATGTATCCAGTTTTCAATCTACTCTCTCCCATGCAACTCTGCTGCTTGAATTTAATAGGATGACCCTCAACTGGAATTAAATACAACTTGCAAAAACAAATCCCTTTTAGAAAGCAATTTTCTTAACTGTTAAGTCTCCTAGGGACCATTTAATACACCATCATAAAATATGTAAGTAATGTAGTATAAACAAGTATAAACCGGACAGTTTTTTAACCCTGTCTAAAATGCTAGTCACCTAAGTTCTAAAAAATTCACAGAAAACCAAAATTTAGTTGGTCCTCAAATACACTGTAAAAGCTAACTATAAGAAAGAGCTAACTGGAAAAGAACTAAAAGATCCTCAAACTGACTGATGGCTTCTATCAATTAATTTCTAAGAAAAACAATCAGGATGTAATCAGAGTTGAAGTTGTAACAGATTAGAAAATATGCAATAAGCCAGATGATATATGAAAGTAATATTAAAAAGAACAGAAGATTATGGATACAAAGTTCCTCTAGATGATGACTAGTTTTTTGGGTTTGTTTTTTTTTTGGTACCAGGGATGAAACTCGGGAACTTGCACTTGCGAGGCAGGCAGTGGAACCAATGAACTAAACCCCTGGCTCACCCAAGTTCCTCTAGAGAGAAAAGATAGATAACTATTTCAATGATGCCAGTGGCAATAACAACATTTCATCTGCACTTAGTGGTCAGCACTCTTATTAAGCTGTTCATGTGCGCTGTCTAATGTAGTATTCACAAAACTTAAAGATCATTATTAATCCCTTAAGTAGGTTAGGTCATGGGAACAAATTAAGTGAATTACTGAGAGTCTCAAAATTAGTAAGTAGATGAGCCAGTAGTCAAGTCAATCTCTTTCTGAGACCAAATTCTTAAGCATTATTTTAGACCATCTCTGAACTGAGACCGTTACCCCACTGTATTCTCTGAACAGGTGATCAGTTCTGCTATCTGCAGTACGCATTTGCAGTGCCATACCAGCTTCCCAAGAAGGCATAATGCACTAGGTATAGTAAGTAAAAGGTGAAAGGAGAAATATCTTCCAAGTGGCAAAACAACTTAAAATGTTTCTGTTGAAATTCATAAGAATTTGTACAATTTAAACATCTACATATACCACCAAACTCTGGTGTTAGAACCAAACACTTTAAATATACAAAGATATTTATCTCTTTATTGTGATCGTATTAAACTATTATAAAAAAAAAATGTCTAACATATATTTCCCAAAATGTTAAACTTGAACCCAAAAATTTCTTATTTATTATGATACGGTAATGCAACTAAACTCTGAATGAAAAAATTAATATCCACACATACTGATCTCACTGATCTATTCAGAAATAGGTTAGTTTTGCAATTAGCGGAGATTAGACTCTCATGCAGTAAGAAAGTCATAAGGTCTTTAAAGAAGGACTCAGACACATTAATATTTCTGGGAAGAATATTCAATAATTTAATTCACTAGTTAATTAATAAAAACATAGATCCATCTGTTTCTAACCTTTCACATCTGACCTAACTGCAAAAAAAAAAAGAAAATAATTTTGTTTTTATGGTTAGAAATCTGTCTTTATCAAATATAACAAGTTAAATTTACTTAAATCACATCATATATGCCCTTAAATCACTCAATTTAAAACCTACACTGGGCACAATGACACATGCTTGTAATTCCAGCACTATAGGGGGCTAGTGCAGAAATACTACAAGTTTAAGCCCTGCCAGAGCAATTTAGGGACTTAGTGAGACCCTGTCTCAAAATTTAAAAAAGAAAACAATGGCTGAGAATGTAGGTCAGTGCAGAGGCCCTCTCTCTCTCCCGAGAATTGCATTAAAAAAAAAAAAAAAAAAAAAAACAAAACTCAATAATAATAACAACAACAGCAATAATATAACAATTTAATTTGGGGGAAATTATTAAGGTTGTGGCTTCTCTTGCTACTGAAAAGAAATCAAGGGGAAAATATACATATATTCATTATATGAATGTTGACATTTGATACAGGAAGGATGTAATTTTCAAATAAAAATTAAATAATAAAGAGTAATGAGGCCGGGGATTTAGCTCAGCAGTTCGGTTGGCCTGCCTTGCAAGCACAAGGACCCGAGTTCAATCCCCGGTACCACACACGCACACACAAAAAAAAAGAGTAATGAAACAACTAAAAAATAACTTAAAAAATAAATCCCAGAGGACAAAAAAACAGTAGTACATACAAATTCATATCAATGCAGAATCAACAATGAGATCAACTGTTTGTCAATATAAATTCTAAATGTAGATTAAAATCCCCGAAGAGTAACTTACGGATTATTAATTGACAAACCAATCATTTAAAATAATTAAACACTGATGTATCTTCTTTCCTAGCACTGTCTGTATTTCAGTTGATTATCATTCTGACTGAGTTACAAGATTGAGATAAATGAGCAATGTGAGGCCCTTTAGCAGGAACAAATAATACTGACCGGCTCAGAGTCATAGCAATAATCATCCCAGCTCTGTCTGAGGGGTTTCTTTGTTATCTGAAAGCAAGGCAGATTAGTTAAGCAGAAGTTATTAGTCATGCCTATTACACTTCTCTAACAATCTCTCAGGGTATTGTGCAAGTAAGATTGCTGCTAACCAAAAAAGTTACTTTGCATAGTGGCATAAAACCAGAAACAGACAGACATTCAGATTCTGAAAAACCATACATTATTCTGCACAACCCATAATGCCACTGTCTAGTGACTCGGATATTTATATTAACTGCTGGCCCCATATCCTAAGAATATTGACATTATAACAAGAATGTCATGGGCACTGATTATAAAAAGATACTGAATGATAGTAAAAATACAAATTTTCTATTACTAAACCTATCATCTCACAGGTGATTACCACCTTATAAAAAATAAATAATTTTATCACCCAAATACAAGGCAAGTAAATTTAAACAGGGAAGAGAAAACTCCCAAGTTGAATTAGGAGTTTTTAAAAAATTCACTTAGGGCTGGGTATTTAGCTCAGTGGTACTGCAACCTGCTTCACAAGTGCAAAGGCCTGAGTTCAGAAAACAATTTTTAAATTTACTTCACTCTGTTCTGCGAGAATGTCTGGTATTATATCAGAAAGTAATATTTTACGTAACTTTGAAATTCTTGATATATAACATAAAGTAAGCCAGGTGTGGTGGTGCACCCCTATAATCCCAGCACTCGGGAGGCTGAGGCAGGAAGATCACTGTGAGTTCAAGACCAGCCTGGGCTACTACACAGTGAATTCCAGGTCACTCTCAACTACACAGTAAGACCCTGTCTCAAAAAAACTAAAAAAAAACAAAACAAAACAAACAAAGTAAGGTGATTTATATTAATATAACTCCAAAATTAAGAAATATCATTTATATAGTATACTGTATATCTTAGGAAAAATGTTGATTTAAGATGTAAGATGTTATTTTCATAACGCTAAATTCTTACTACAATCTTTTTTATTGTTTTGTATTTTTTATTTTGTGAGACAAGCTCACCGTATATGTTTCAGGCTGGCCTTGAACTCACCAGATAGCCCAGGCTGGCCTCATATTCATGGCGAACATCCTGCCCTGGCTTCCCAAGTGCTAGGATTGCAGGCATGCGCCACCATCAAAGTGTCAATTAATTACAAAATCTATATAAGAACTTCATTAATGGGGCCAGGGATCTAGCTTAGTGGTGACACACCTGCTTTGCAAGCACAAGGTGCTGAGTTCAATCCCCACTACCAAAGAAAAAGAAAAAAAAAAAGAATTTCATTAATTGCAATAAAAGAATTTCTCCACAGATATTACATCTTGCCTCAAACAAAAACTAAGGGAAGACAATATATTATTTAAATGATCTACTGGTCTACTGATTCCATTAATGTTGGTTAATATGAAGAATAAAAAAATGAGGAATAAAATTAAGAGAAATCAATGCCATAAAAAGTTGTAAAAATTACTCCTTTTATAGATTAGAGGTGAATTTATACAGTTTAAAGGAAAGATTCAACTTAAGTCATTTGTCTTTGAGAGTTTCATACTAAATGTTATGAGGACTATCAAATTATGTAGTCATACTTCAACTTAGTATCATACTATCATGCAAAGTAGTTAAGTGTAGTAGACTGTAAAGCATGCAAATCAGATTTCAAGTAATTCCTTGCAAAAGACATGCACTAATTAATCATTACTAATATTTATCCTCCTGGTGTAAAAGTCATTCTAGAAAGAATATGCCAGTTTTCTGATATAGAAAGATCAAAATAAATACTATTTTTTCTTAAAGATGCTCACAAAAAGTAATGGACTTTTTAACATTCATATAAGGGTAGGAATTTTTAAATTTGAAAATTGTAGACATAAATTTTTAAATTGTATGTATGGAAATGCTAGTTACTTATCCACAAAGTTTTGGAACAAAAGTTTTTCTAAGAACTAAAATTCAATTCTGCCCTACATCTCCAGAAGCTTTTCAAGAACTCTCACCTGATTGAGGTAATGATACTCCTCTGGTTGTTTCAGGTGGAATGCTAACCTCTCTTCTTCACTTGCTCCTGCCAGGAGGTAATAGAATACATGGTAATTCCTGTTGGAAACAAAAGTATAGCTTTATAAAGAACATGATTATGGTAATCATTTAAAAGAAAAAAATTTAAACGTAAGTAAAATAACTTCACTGTTTCCTTTTGTTTTGTTTTGTTTTGATGACGGGGATCAAACTCGGAACCTTGCGCTAGTGAGGCAGGCGTGGAACCACTAAGCTAAATCCCTAGCCTCACTGTGTCCTTTTTTAATATGTGATAACTCAGTATTTAAGTACTCCTACAGAACAATGTTTTAGATGATGAATGGAAAAAAGGGTAAAGTCAGTGAAATGGCAAAGTCAAGACTTCTGAAAATTCTGTATTCCCTAAAATTAATGATGAACCTGCAAATTTGTCAGAATTAACTCTCAGAACTCTGGAAATTAACCAAAAGCTTTCAGCAATTCAGGGAATGTTTACTCAAGAAAAATAGGAGTGTGAGTTAGGAGTGTGCCTGTGATCCCTGGACTTGGGAGTCTGAGGCAGGGAGGATCACTATGAATTTGAGATCTGCCTGTGCTACACAGTAAGTTCAAGGCCAGCCTGAATCAGAGTGGGACTCTCTCCCTCAAAAAAAAAAAAGAAAAAACGAAACAATTCTAAACAAACAAAAAACCCCAGATGAATCGCCAAAGAAACAATTTTGTGACATTTTAATTTACCCTATTTCATCCCCAGCTCACTAACTCCACAGTAGCCTTGAAAACCAACAGTCTGCAATTGTGACGGACACCATAAGACTGGCAGCCAACAGAAGAGGCACAACAAGCTTCAAATTTGTCAAAGGCCTAGTTCTCTAATTTTACATACCATCGTTTGAACTGTCTAGTTGTTTCTGGAAAAACTCATATTCAAGACTGACTTTCTGAACTGTACTGTTTGCTTTAAATGTACCAATAAACTTAATGGGGTGGAGGGGCGGGCCTCTGTGACCTGACACAGAATTTACACAGTGCAAAAATCTTTTCCCCAGAGGTATTTGTAGAAAACAGGTTAAAATACAATACAGTCACCCTTGCTATCTGTAGAGGATCAGTCCCAGGACACTTTCTACACATCAGATACCAAAATCCACAGATGTTCCAAGTCTTTCCATAATATGTGATCATGTCTGCATATAACTTATGCACATTCTCCTATTTTAATCATTTCCAGATTACTTATAATAACTAATACAATGTAAACATTAAGTAAATAGTTGTTTTACTATATTTTTTAGGGAATGAGGATGTTCAGTACAGATACAGCTTTTTTAGCCCAAATATTATCAATCTAAAGTTGGCTGAATCCACAAATGTGCAACTCATTAATAGAGACAGCTAACTGCATACCAAACAGGGGAAACAGCTAGAGCAGCACTTTGAGAAACTTTGTATCTTTTGAGACCTGCCTATGCTACATAGTGAGGCCAAGGCCAGCTTGAATCAGAGTGAGACTGTCTCGAAAAAACAAAGAAAAAACAAAAACTAAACAATTCTAAACAAACAAACAAAAAACCCCTAGCTGAAGTATGTGACTTAAATCTATAATTTAAGAACTAAGGAAAAAAACTTAAGACAAAGTAAGTAGAAGAAAGAGAATAGTAAATGTTAGAGATGAATTAGAGAATAGGGTAAAATGTAGAACATCAATGAAAATGTCACTTTAAAAACAACTACAAGGAGCTGGGGATTTAGTTCAGCTGTACCCTTCCTTGCAAGCACAAGGTCCTGAGTTTGATTCCTGGTACCAAAAACAAACAAACAACAACAACAACAACAAAACTACAAACTTAACCTTTATCTAAACTGATGAAACAGAGCAAGATATATTCAAGTTTAGGAGCAAAAGAAGGGGAAACATTAACAATCCTATAAAAATAAAAAAGACTATGAGAAACAATATAAACAAGTTATATAACCTAAGTCAAATTTCTTACCAGACCTGACGAAGGAAGAAATAGAAATTCTGAACAGATGTGTAACAACTAAAGTGTTTGAATTAGTAATAAAAATCCTGCATCAATTAAAGACCAGAACCAGATGGCTTTGCTGGTAAATTTTACCACACATATAAAGAAGTAACTTTTTACAACTCTTTTTAAAAACTCTAGGAAGTAACAAGTTTCCATTTCATTTTACGAACCAGCACAGTGTTATACTGATCCTAAACTGGATAAAGATATCAGAAGAGAAAAATCCTTAGAACAGTAAATCTTATGAACACAGACAAAAAAAATTCAGAATATTAGCAAACAAAATTCAGCAACATATAACAGATTTAATCTCTTACTTCTATTATCCATAAAAAGGAAATTGACAGAAAAGCCTAAATTTGCTAATTACTAAACTTTTATTGTACATGAAACAATAAGCATTTTATAAATATTATGTCATTTAATCCTCTAAACAACTCTAGAATGGTTTTCCATTTATAAAATGAGGACACCTAAGCAGAGAAGTGCAAGGCCCAAGGCTTATCCAAGATTTGATTATTGGCTGTTTACTTCAAACTCTGGCTCTGAACATTATTACGTCTCACTGTGGCATAAAACAGTTCATTTACTTTTCTCTTATTTGGTTTCTTCATCTGCATGATACTATATATGTCACCCTTAAAGTTCCACACTTCTCAAATGTTGTAATAGGATTAAGAGCTTTGTTGAAATCTTTAATTACAAAAAGAGATGGAATGGTCTTACACAAAGAACAAGATACAACCTGAGAAAGTTATCCTGTTCTGACAATTTGCCTAGAACCCAGAAAGAACAGTTTCTATTATATCTAAAATAATCTCTCTTCACAGCCTCTAAAATAAAGCAGTACTCTGTCTTTGAAAGAAATAGCAATTACACATAAGGTATATATGGTGTAAAGTGAACTGAGGGTCATAACATACAAAGAACTTAAAAGTCAATTTGCATGACACTAACATTAATTTGATCTAATTATACAAATAAAAATATGTACCGTTCATTATGTTCTTGATAAACAAGTCTGGACTTCTCCAGTAGATATTTTTCAACATAGGCACTAGAAGAAAAATAAAATTGGTTGACTTAAATACTAAAGTTCAATGTAAGACAGACACACTTCTTTACAGACAGTGCAAAAGTACAAAGAATATGCTCCAAGTCATTTCACCACATTTAATATTATCACTATGTTAATGGATTCTGTTAATGCTACCCATGCAGTAATTCATAAAGTCAAGTCTTAGACTGGCTAGAGAATGAGACAGGCATGTAAGTGGACTCCATCAAGAAGAGTTCATACACTACTGGCCACAAAAATGAAATTTAAGGGCCAGAGATTTAGCTCAGCAGTTCGGTGGCCTGCCTTGCAAGCGCAAGGACCCGAGTTCAATCCCTGGTACCCCCCCCCAAAAAAATGAACTTTACGTGAAAGTAGTGAGGAACTGCAGCATCAAGTGTATTTCTAGTATTTTGTTTTTATTATCTTATTACTGGCTATGCTTTTCAAGTCTTCAGTATCTCTTACCCACAAGGGTATAACTAGATGAGCTCTCACTAGAAAAGGGGTTTTATAATCTGAAGCTTTCAAACTGTAGACTCCTGAATCCAGATTACTTATACAAAGGCCTATGCTTCAAAATTTGATCCTTGAATTAAATTTCCCCCAATTCCTCTTTATCACATGCTCTCTACTTCAGTCGCAAATACAGGCTATCTTCTCAAGCCTAACGTACACCCCTGACTTCACTGCTCTTGGTTTTGATCCTTGAATTAAATTTCCCCCAATTCCTCTTTATCACATGCTCTCTACTTCAGTCGCAAATACAGGCTATCTTCTCAAGCCTAACTAACGTACACCCCTGACTTCACTGCTCTTGGACTTCCTTCCATTTCTGATTTCTTACTCTATTCCCAATCTCAGGCCACAATTTCATTCCTGCATTGAAATGAATTTCAGTGTGTCTGCAAATCCACTATTGCTACCACCACCAATTAAATGTCACTTCTCAACTATCATGATCACTGCTAGTCTCAACTATTAAAACAAGCTACTACCTGTAGCTCAAAATGAAAGAAAGGGAATGGATATAAATTAATATGATAAAGTCTCATCCCCTGCATAAGAAAATGTGACTATCCTCATTTTATAAAGGTAGTAACTTAAACAAGCTACTACCTGTAGCTCAAAATGAAAGAAAGGGAATGGATATAAATTAATATGATAAAATCTCATCCCCTGCATAAGAAAATGTGACTATCCTCATTTTATAAAGGTAGGATGCTCAAAGATAGTAAGATTTTACATTAGTAAACAGCAAACCATGACATGAACCTGGGTCTGTTTTAACTACAGAGGCTGTCTTTCAACTGCACCAACACACTATTTTCCAGACATCTCTTTTCTCCTTTCCAATCTATAAACTATGCTCACTATACCAAAAAACACAAGAGAAAAACTGACATGTCTGGATTTTTAAGTCCAAATAGAAAAAGAAGAAAGAACAGGTGAAGTAAACATAGCAAACTATAATCATGGCTGACTCTGAGAGTTCTTTACACTATTTAATCTATTCTCATCTATTCTCTTTTTGTGGTTTTTTGGGGGGTTTTTTGTTTTTGTTTTTTGAGACAGGGTCTCACTATGTAGTGAGAACTGACCTGGAACTCACTATGTAGCTCAGGCTGGTCTCATGCTCACAGCGATCCTCCTGCCTCAGCCTCCCGAGTTCTGGGATTACAGGCGTGCGTCACCATGCCTGGCTCTTTTTGTGTTTATAAGACCAAGGTTGCATTAAATTTTTGTAAGTCAGTTTCACTATATCAAGAGTATAATCACTAGCTTTAGTCACAATCTGACACCAACTGACCACCATGACCATAATGTATAGCCATCACTTTGCCTCCTCAAATACACCAAGATCTTGTCATGATTCTACTCATTTGCAATGCCAATTTATCAACTAGTGATTTCCCACTTCTGCTTAGCAAATTTGTAATATTCAACATAAAACCATCTTGTTTGTGAATGCCTCCAAACACATACTTCAAGTGCTATGCTTATTTGAATACAATAAACTTATATATAACATCACTCTTTGAAAAGACTATGAGAACGTTAAAGGCAGAGAGCATGTCTAGATTTTTGTTATATACTCAATACAGGAGTACCTCAGTTCATGAATTTAATTTGTTCCATGATTCTGGAAAAGACAGCCACATTTTTGTCCATGCTGGAATGATGGCTATGATTGTGTTTATCATCCAATGCAGAGTTTGCAAACAAAAAATATTGCTAAATGTTTGTGAACCAAATTGTTCACAAACAAAAGCATCCATGAACCAAAGTTCACCACAATATTTAGCACAGTACATGGTAGTACTACTCCTAAAGTACTCTGAAAATCTTTGCTAAATACATTAAAATAAATAAGAGTTTAAAATGTCTAATCTATATTTGTTGCCACACTGACATGTTTTTTGCTCATCATTGATGCAAGAAAGTTTAACAATTTTAGGTAGTCACTTAACCCATGAGAACCTGAATTCCCTCCACTAAATATGGAAACAGCCAGGCATGGTGGTGCAGGCCTGTAATCCCAGCACTCAGGAGGCTGAGGTAGGAGGGTCATCACAAGTTCCAGGTCAGCCTGGGAACCACAGTAACCAAAGTTCACCACAATATTTAGCACAGTACATGGTAGTACTACTCCTAAAGTACTCTGAAAATCTTTGCTAAATACATTAAAATAAATAAGAGTTTAAAATGTCTAATCTATATTTGTTGCCACACTGACATGTTTTTTGCTCATCATTGATGCAAGAAAGTTTAACAATTTTAGGTAGTCACTTAACCCATGAGAACCTGAATTCCCTCCACTAAATATGGAAACAGCCAGGCATGGTGGTGCAGGCCTGTAATCCCAGCACTCAGGAGGCTGAGGTAGGAGGGTCATCACAAGTTCCAGGCCAGCCTGGGAACCACAGTGAATTCAAGGTCAGCCTAGACTACATAGCAAGACCCTGCCTCAAAAAATCAAAAAAAGTTTTAAAATTAAAAAGTGAAAATAAACATCTGGCATTCCTAATTCAAAAATCCATCTTGAGATTCAATGAATAATACTATACTTTGTTAACTTATAAAGCAATATACACAACTTTACCTATTATCAGTCTCTCCAAGAGCACAATCATAAACACAAAAAAAGCCACCCAACAATTTGATTACATGATACTTTTAAGAGTTAAAACACCAACCATACCTTTGCAAACAGATGAGATTTCAGAACCAGGAAAAAAATTACCTGTCATGGCGACGACAGACTTAGTGCCCTTGTTCATTTTAAGTGGTTCTAGTTTTTGGTTCCATGAAGGTGGGGTGTACTTTTGGTAAAGATTTTACAATTTAAATACAGAAGTAAAGTAATAAGACATAAGCATAAACTAGCTTTTTTTTTGGAGGCAGGGTCTCACTATGCAGTTCAGACTGCCCTAGAACTCAGCCCAGGCTGGTCTCCAACTCACAGAGATCCTTCTGCCTCAGCCTCCTGAGTGCTGGGATTACAGGTGTGCACCACCACGCCCAGCCCAAACTAGCTTTTTTTTTTTTTGGTACCGGAGATTGAACTCAGGTCCTTGCGCTTGCAAGGCAGGCCACTGAACTGCTGAGCTAAATCCCCAGCCCTTCATTTTAAACTAGCATTTTAAAAAGCACAGATCAATTCTATTTATTCAGAGCAATGCAAAAATTATAATAAAAATTAGCAAATAAAAACACAGCAACCAAATGTGTCTGTGCATAAATGTGAGTGTGTTTATGTGTGCAAGCACACACACTAACCAAAGAGTGGACCTTAATACAAGTAGGATTTTTTTCCCTAGGAATACACAGAACAGCTCAATATTGGAGGGAAAAATTACAATACTAATTGCTCTTACAATGAAGATATGTTGGGCCAGGGATTTGGCTGGGAATTTAGTTTCTTAAAGCTATACTGAATACTGTTGGCATAATCAGAGGACTCTGATCAGACTATATAAGAATCTCCTGGGGCTGGAGATTTAGCTTAGAGGTTCCGCTGCCTGCCTCGCAAGCACAAGGACCCAAGTTCGATCCCCGGTACCAAAAAAAAGAATCTCCACATTTATAAGAATAGTATGGGGACTAGGGGTATAGTCTGTGGTAGAACACTTGCCGAGCATATGAGAGGCAATGGATTCAATCCACTAATACCTCACCACCAACAAAACAAAACAAAAAAAAAAAAAAAAAAAAAAAAAAAAAAAAAGAAAAGCAAGATGGATCTTACTGTGGGGGAAGGGGAAAGTATAGTAATACAGATATGTAGAAAAATGTGTTTTTTTGGGAAATACAGTTAATTAGAAAATCATTGTATCCAACTTCAAAACAATTCAAATAATGAATGTATGAATAATACAGTACAGAGAAATCTAAATGCAGCAAAGTGTGAACAGTTAATTTAAGGGTGCATGAATGTTAAGATCAGTCTCACAACTTTTCTGAAGTATGATATTTTCCAAAGGGAAAAAAAACAAAGGAAAAGTCTTAATGCAGATACCAATGTCACAGTGTATAGAAGTGATGACGAATCTCCTAGAGATGAGTAACCCAAAACTCACTCATTTATTAAGAAGTTCCAACACTACAATTAAATCTGAATACTGAGGTTTTAGTTTAGAAAAAACAACTCATACATCAACATCTTTTGTCTCAAAAGAAAAACAATATGCATGCCACAGGCTTGGCACCACTTGTCTATAGCTAAAAGGTAGATAATGACAAAAGTAAAACATAATCCACAACCTGTTGCTACTGCTGAGTTGCAGTACTTACCCAAGTACAGTGCCTGTTTCCTGGTAATTCACTTGAATAAACTTGCCAAAACGACTTGAATTGTTATTATGAGCAGTCTTTGCATTGCCAAAGGCCTGTCAAAATAATAATTCTCATTAGTTTCATTTATTAAAAATTGAAAACCCTGCTTCTTAGGTCAGCTCAAACAAACAAAATGCTGAAGAGAAAACAAAGTCGATTTACTTATGTTCAGACTCATACTAATAGTTCAGGTAAAACAAAGCAATTAACAATTGAAAGGGCTGAGAATGTAGCTCAGCTCAGTGGCACCATGCCTGCCCACCAAGTGCAATGTCCTGAGTTCAATCCCAGTACAAAAAAAAAAAAAATTTAATAACTTGTTGGCATATGCATGTAATCTTATTACTCAAGAGGCTGAGGCAGGAGGATCTTGAGTTCAAGGCGAGCCTGGACTACAAGGCGAGATCCTGTCTCAAAAAAAAAAAAAAAAAAAAAACAAATAAACTGGGTGTGTTGCCACGTGCCTATAATCCCATCACTAGGGAAGCTGAGGCAAGAAGACAACTGAGAGTTCAAAGTCAGCCTGGGCTACATAGTGAGTTGAAGGCCAGCCTGAATTACTCTGCAAGATCTGTATAAAACCAATACAAAAATATATAAATATATATATAAAGAAGATTTTACTTTATAATTCTTCAGCAAAATAATTATTTTTTTAAATTTAGTACTTATTAAGCCGGACATGGTGGCGCACGCCTATAATCCCAACACTCAGGAGGCTGAGGCAGGAGGATCACTATGAGTTCGAGACCAGCCTGGGGTACATAATGAGTTCCAGGTCAATCTCAACTACATGGTGAGACCCTG